CTGCAAACAGAAAAGAAAATTAACTGCTAATTTTAAAATATCAGTGAGGATGGCTTTATTATCTACATCAACTGACTATTGTATAAGATAAATCAATGTGAGGCAATATGTGTAGCTTACACATTTGGAAAAAAGGCTAGACAGCAACTGAAAGAAAGTCCGTCTTCCAATGGTCGAAATTCAAACGAAACAGTGGCCCACAACGGTCAAGGGGTGAATTCTATGACGCAACATGTGTTCAGAATATTACAAAATAAATAAAATGTCGCCTATTGCTACGTGAATATCATACAATATAACGTACCTTCGAAATATCCCAGTCCGAGGACTTCACAACGCACCGTGCCACAACACAACCGCACCAACCGCCGGCAGCCGCAGAACTGAACAATGGCGGCCGGAAATGACGGCCCCGCCGGAAGTGAAGGACGCGTTTTAGAAGCAGTCTCAGACTCGTCGCTGCTCACCGTAGCAGGGATTTATGAGGCACTACCGAATCAAAGTCGTTTCGCCTCATTCGGCAACACGAAAACCCTACCATGACTAGTCCGATGATGAGTTTCCGACTATACACTGTAAAAAAATTCACTAGCTAATTTTGAAATTAGGCATTTTTTACGAGTGCCTCCCTTGCTCCTCGTTACAACATATATGGACATTAGTAGTCAGAGCCATGCACGTTAACAATGCCGCTTGTGGAACAAATGCCTACGAGCGAGAACATGTTCAGGAACCTAATTTTGCGCAGTGTTAATGAACTACGCACAGCCTCACAGTGTTACCCGCCGTTGGCTTGTTCTCGGCCAGTTTTTAGCGTGTCCCTCAATTAGGTCATTTCGCTATTAGCTCAGCTGACGAGGCCCCGGCTGGCACCTACTAAACGGATAACCTTGCGTGCAACCCCGCTTGTTGTCACGAACGCCTGCAGCTGGTAAACGTGCTGGCAAGCTTGCGTGGTAAGCGGCTTCGGATGGCTATGAGGATGTGCCTCATAGCTATCCTCGTCGCATGTTACAACCTAGGAGTCTGTGGCTGCTTTCAGAAAGAGTCCCCCCCCCCGCTTCCGGGAGCCGGCGTCCATTTTGTGTTGCGTCGCCATTACTGTGTGTGTCTGCCCAACTGCTCTTCGGCTTGATTGAAGGTGAGGCATCTTGTATCATTTGCTGTGTGCTCAACAAAAAGGTTGTCCATTTGTAAACAAAAGTTATTATGTTGTTGAGCTTCTTAGAAGATGTATTAGTATCGCATAATGTTGCCCGTCGTTGGCAGAAGTGCGCCGGTATCGTCTATCCAAGTCAGAATAGCTATATGTTTTGGACTTAAGCTAGCTTGTGGCAGGAATCTATCACTTTATTCAACTTTAATTTAATCATTTTCCAGATTGGTATGCCTTATGATAATAATAATGTTAATATTCGTTTTTTTTCACCCATTACAGACTTATCTGGTGAAGAATGGGGCCATGTATGTCCTGGCCTACCTGCACCCCGCGACTGCCGCCGGTGCAGAGCTAATGAAAAAATCACAAATGTTTGATGGTGGTTATTTAAGAAACCTTATTGAAAATTATTCAGTTAGTTGTTGTTGTTGTTGTTGTTGTTGTTGTTGTTGTTTAAGTTATAGTTATTGTCCTGGCGTTGTTATTGTTCTCGTTCTCGTTCTCGTGCCCGAATAAATGTGCTGCAGCGCTACTCAGTCTGTTTACTTGCGGGTGGCGGTCGAGAGTCTGGTCGACGGAATTCCGTCGACCGTGCCTCGACCCCGAAGGCCAGTAGTGGTACTAGTTAACTAGTGCCACTACTGGCCTTGAGCTAGTACCATTACTAGCCTTGGGGGCTAGTACCATTACTGGGTATGGATTAGTAGGCAGTGGCTAGTTACCTTACCAGGCAGGGGCTGTTATGACACCTAGTAGACGCACTACCCACGCTATTTACGTGCGTGTTGTCAAACTAGGTGGAGCACGGTGGTCGTATGCATACGAGGCACAGCCTTGTCGAACAAGCTTGTTACTCGGCAACTAGCCTAAAATTAGCCAAATTTACACGCTCCTGCAATGTTATTTTTGCGCTGAGAATTCCTCTACGAGGGGCTTGTAAGTTTTTTTTTACAGTGTAGGTGGCGTGTGCGCAGGATTATATTTAAAGCACGTGCAGGGCGGTGCCTCATTAACCGACATAATAAAAATATGACACGATAATGAAACACGCATGTAACTAGCATGCAACAAGCTTCTGGCGGATTTAATTATGAGACTATGCGTAGTTTTCCGACACAGCGCGAAATCTGTTGATAAGCAGGAATGGGTGTTAGGGAAGCATTTAAGTTATTAGGTTACCGTTTGCAACCAATTGTTTTACGAGGGCACTCTTTAACCCTCGCATGTGTAGGGGGGGGGTCGGATGGACCCCCCCCCCATGGTTTTTCGCGAATAACTCGCGTAAAAAGCGGCCGATCGCGACGAAACTTTCAGTACCCTCGCATTGATCAATTTTACACCTACCCTAAAAATTTCATGACCCTGACCCAAATGACCTTTGACCTGTGACCTCTTTTCCGAGACCATGTTTGGCCGTAATCGCGATTTCGCGTATGTCGGCTCGCACTAGCCGCGTGTTTGCAAGCTTTTCGTGGTTTCAAACGTTCAAACATGTGATTTGATGTTACTCCCGTGTGTGTCAAGGTCACCTGAAGGTCAGGTCAGGTCATTGACCTTTGGTGACCTCGGGTGACCTCGGGTCACTTTTTCGAGTTTTACATGTTTCTAGGCTAGTTTTTGGAGCTGAATTCGAATTTAGCAACCATTTGAACATTTACGAAGTAGTTTTGGTGACTTCGTAACATGTTACGAAGCTGTCAGAGGCGGTTGACACGTACTACGAATACCCGTCACGACGCCTACTGGTTGACCTGACCTGACCTGACCCGACCTGGTCTAAATGCTTCAAGACATCATCTGTGATCAAAACTAACACGATATTCGTGATCAGCACCCCGAAAAACCCCTTAGCAGCCACACTTTACGACTTTCTAACAGGTCCCGATTTTCCCGACTTTGGGTCATTGACCTGACCTGGAAGGTCAACCAATGACCTAGGACCTTAAAATTGGGTATCATCGGCTTCCTCTCGTCACGGGCAACACGCTCGTTTTTTCCGCGAAGCTCTAGCTCGATCAGGGGCCAAACGGCAAGGGGGGGGTCCAACCGACCCCCCCCCCTACACATTAGAAGCTGGAAAACGCCGCACACATGCGAGGGTTAAGTACCAACGCTCAGGCTGATAATGTCCCTATATATAACAGCAAGGTACAATGGACGACCGTGTATTCCACTCCTTGTCATAGAATTGGCTCGTGACATTTTTTACAGTGAATGAGCCCACCGCGCGGGCGCCCGCCGGGTAGGCTGTGCCGCCCGCCGCTCGCTGCAGCGGCGGCGGCCACCCGTATGTACCACCCGGCAGCCTTTACACAATCCCAACAATAGCTAAGTTAAAGGGACTATCCCACCTTCTAAAATGTTGTTAAAACCAGTTAAATTGTGCCCGACTTTATAGATTGGATGACCAGGAGCACGGTTCTGGCATTTATTTTTTATTAAACATCTTAGGCTCCCCATATTCCAAACACAAACTTTCAAATATGTGACGTCACAGCCCAAAAATTACATCCTTCCCCAGGCGACATTACTGTCATAAAGCTGATTCTTTTTACTCTGTAGGCACCACAAAAAAGTTCAGACCAAGTTTTAAGCGATTTTTCAACGAACAAACCCATTTAAATCAGAATGACTAAACGAGGTGACGTCACACTAACGGTCGCTCCATGTTGAAGATAGGGCCTTGCGCAAGGCCCATTTTCAAATGAAGGGAACGAATTTCTTCAACACCAAGAGGCCGCGGGGGTTGCAACCTAGATAGATAATGGTTTCTGAACCTCGCCGCAAACTTGGCTATCTCAACTCAAACCCCATGTTAAAGGTGGGATAGTCCCTAGAACGCCTAGAGGGGGTTGTATCAACCCCCCTGAGGTTTTTTCGAAGTGCACGCTAAACGGCTTGTCGTAGCGGGCTGAAATTTTCAATACCCTCTGGGGCAACCTTTGCGCATCTTTTGCCGAAAAAAAAAATTGATCGGGTCATGTCAGGTCACGGAGTTATGACGTCATAAGAGGTACAGCCTCCGGCCGACAGTTACCAAACGTGTGCGCCGAATCCCTAGGTTTTCTGCCGGTGATACCCACATTGTTTGATGGATCATGATGAAACTTCCCATGCATGTTGGGGCAAGCATTGGCTATCGTGTGGTGCAAGAAAATTGACCGGGTCAGGTCAGGTCACGGAGCTATGACGTCACAAGAGGAACAGCGTCCGGTACTATTCTTGAAAAGCGCCCGAACCACTATTTTGCTAATTCTTGTCACCTCAATGGGAATATGCAGAAATATTAGCTTCTATAGGGAGCAAATGGACCTCCCAAATCCAAAAATACAATTAGATTTCAAAAATTTAAATTTTGATTTTTCGAATTTCTGCCGCCGACTGTGACCTTGCCGACTTCCGGCGCTCCCAACGCGCCATTTTTAGAGCTAGGGAAACGAAATACATACCAAACGATAGAGAATTGATCAAGGAACACGATAGTGAAGGTTTCAAGTCGATATCTCCCACCGTTTTGCCGCAATCGCCGCGGAAAGTTGAAAAAGTTTGATTTTTTCGGAAAATTTGACCTTTGACCGGTCATAAGTAGGTCAAATGTTGACCTAGGACCAAAAAATATACCACCAATCGCGAGATCTCGTTGTGAGCAATCCGTTGGTTTTTTCCGCTAAGCTCTACGACCATCCGTTACGAAACGCCAGGGGGGGGGGGGTCGTAACAACCTCCCCCCTGGTCGTTCGTGTTATGAGAAATGGCCTGGTCGTGCGAGGGTTAATAACTGGGCCTTTTGTGTCACACATTATTGCCCAAAACAAACAAACTCAGCACGTTTCTTCTTCAGTTCATAGGGACATCAAGCCATCGAACATTTTGCTGGTTAAGAACAGGCGAGGTGAAACCGTGGCTAAACTCGCCGACTTTGGCGTATCCATGGACCTGACAACAAGCAGATGGACAAAGAGAGATACCGTCGGCACTCTGGCATGGATGGCTCCGGAGGTGATTGCGGACGAGCAGGAAATTGTAAGTACCCATAATACCCGTTAATCATGGCTCACTGCTATACTCTCGTCGTTGCTTGATAATGAATTCAATGCCGGTAGCTTGTGATTTCAGCGGTAGCTATTTTCGCGTCTAATGTTGACTACCTGTCCAGAAATGAATATGATCCAGACCATGGTTAGAGATGCAATTCTTAGTCAATGCATGATATCAGGATTCCTTGGCCAATATCATGTGGTGCATGAAATACGGGTAACATTTTTCTCGATTATGGTGAAGTTAGATAAATATAGTAGTCTGATGCTCATGAGTAAGCTATATCCCGCGCCCAAGTGGCGGTCTCAGCCAACTTCGCCCTAGTGGGGGGGGGGGGGGGCATATGTTACCACCCACCTCTAACTCAAAAACTAAGAGGGCTAGGAAGACGCGGTAAAAAGCAGTCGATAGCTCTCAATGCGTACGTTTGAAAGTACTTAGGTCATTTTCATCTTAGAACAATATTGGGGTCACTGGAGGTCATCAAAGGTCAAAATTTGCCAAATGTCATTATATTTCTCAGAAAACATGCATTTATCTCAGGAACTATGATAGCTAGAAAAACGAATGGCAAAGCAATCGATAGCTTTTAAACCTTTCTTATGAAAAGGTCATGAAAGGGTATGAAAAAAGGTATGAAAAGGGGATGTTTCCATACAAATTATTCACATCTACCGTGAATGCAATGGAGCCTGGTGGAAATCCAGTGGGGAACTGCCTTTTCAAACCATCTAGAAACTCGTACGTGTTGCTGAGGTGGGCAGGGACAAAGATCAGAAGCCCTGCAGAATCAAACATCCCCACTGCAGAAGCGATTGCGTCCATCATACGCATGATCCAAACTCATCAATCCAAGATAGACCTCTATGGACTTACAATACCAGACATTCAGCATCTCCTTGAACACTGCCTAAACAACAATTATGTTCGCTTCGGCAAAGACATTTACAAGCAATCCAAAGGAATCGCGATGGGTAGTCGTATTGCACCACCACTTGCAATTCTTTTTATGAATGCTGTGGAGTCATTGATGCTAAGCACGGAAACACATCAGCCTGCCATATACCTAAGATACATCGATGATATCTTCGGCATATGGACCCATGGATCACTATTACTCAGCCAATATTTCGATTTTATAAATAGCTTTCACCCAGCCCTACGTTTTAGCATTGACAGGACAGACAACACCCCATCCAGTGAGATTGCCTTTTTAGACACCCTTATCACCATTAACCCGCGCCCCACTGGGGGGGGGGGCTATTTATAGCCCCCCCTCCCGTTTTTCTGCAATAACTTCCAAACCGCTTGACGTATCGACGCCAAACTTTCAGTACCTTTGGCTGCATCCATTTGACACCTTGTGTCAAAATTTGAACTTCGTACCTACCATAGGTCGGCCGGAAATGACGTCAAAGTGACGTCATGTTCGGCCGATTTCGACGCAAAACATTGAACCACGGGAATCGCTCCCAAGAGCTCAGTTTTTAAGCTAGATCCAATTTCTTTGCATGAGAGGACTCAGAATAGACTGCGCTATCAAACTGCTATCTCGGATTTTCAAAATTTTCAAAATTTCGAAAATTTTATATAATAAAATTCAAAATTTATATTTTTACATTTTTTCAAAAACGTTTTGACTTTTCGAAAAAAAACCGGAATATATGTGATAGAACGCATTATTATGACTAACTGTAGCAAGTTTTAGCTAAATATCTTCAAAAATGGCCAATTTATACGCATTATTGCAAAAAATTAACAATTATTAATTTTTCAAATCAATTTTTAAGTACGAATTTGACATCGTACGCCAATATAAATAGCACCATCGTGTTCCTGAGCTCAAACTGCATCCAATAGACACCTTTTTTGTTGAAAAATTTTAACTTCAAAATTTGACTTTTTTGACCTGAAAGTGACCTGACCTAAGCTAAATATGACTCAAAATGACCTCGAATGACACAGACGACATCAAATTCGAAATTTGTGGCCTAAATGGACCATAAAACATGTGTCACGTGACCGACGGATGATATAATATTTTCGTGACCTGTGATGACCTGACCTTGACCTGAAAATCAAAGTACAAGTTTGGTACCCTATGAGTGTCTAGAGCATCTGTTCACGAGTGTGTGAACCAAAAATGAGCCTGATCTGACTTGTAAGACGGCGGCCAGAGCCCAAAACGTGAAGAAGCAAAAATGCTAATAATTTTTACTTTGACCTGACCTGTGACGTCATCGGTGACCTCGAGGTCAATGAACTTAGGTTTCGCTCGACAGTTTTTCCGGGGCTATCAGACGCCGTTTGAATTTTGACGATCGGCCCAGTAGTTTCGGAGTTAGGAGGGGGGGCTATGAATAGCCCCCCCCCCCCCCAGTAGGGCGTGTTATACGCAGACCCCAGTGGGGCGCGGGTTAAGGAATCAGGTAGTTACATAACTGAGCTATATATAAAACCCATGGCAGCTCCCATCATCCTACACTTTGAGTCAAATCACCCAATGCAAACGAAACGTTCCCTGATCCATTCACAATCTCTTAGAGCCGTACGTCTCGGGTCAGACACTGCAGCTCAAGGGCGAGGTTTGAAGAAAATTGAGAACCTATTTCTGCAGAACGGATATCCCTCTAAGCTCATTAAAAACATACAGAACTCTATAAGGTACGGCCCGAGAAAAGTATAGCTTTAAGAAACACGCGGAGGTTACTTTCCTTTCCCTTCCATACATAGATGAAGTTCTTACACGTAGGGTTAACGCAGCGGCTCGCTGATCTGGCTGTAACGCAGTAACGCAGCGGCTCATCTGATCTGGCTGTACGGGTAGCATGGTGAAGCGGCCCAACGCTTGCCAACAAACTGATACGATCAGCTCTAGAGCCCCCACTCTGCCCCAGGGGTAATAGGAAATCTTGTCACACCTGCGATGCTGGTATTCCTGGTAAATGTCACACCAAAAACGTAGTTTATCAAATAACGTGCAAAATTTGTAGTAAAACGTATATCGGTAAAACACGAAGAATGATTCGCACCAGATTCATGGAACATCTTGGGGACGCTCGAAACAATAGGCGAGCACAGACTTGGGGGATCATGTACTTTTTGAACACTCGACCATACACATAGGCAATGGTGACTTTAGTATAGGCATCCTCCACACCTGCAAAGATGAGGCAAATCTAAGGATCACAGAGTCTATCGAAATCAGGAACCGAAATCCAGCTCTTAACAAAAATACTTTGTCTTGGCGTCTGCTAAACCCTGTACCATACTCATCCTATACACGTACACACTAACTGTCTAGTCTACACCACATTATTAAATAATTGTATATTTGTATGATTGTATAATTCAACACAATATGTATGATTGTGCTGATTTTTTTTTTTTTTTTTAATTACTGCACATTTATCACCAGCTTTCCTGATGTAAAGCTCCGAGATATTTTGTCACGCCTGTTATAGTATTTTATCACGTTCCCCCGCGTTTGATTGTTGTTTTCTATCCTATGTCGACGTCGTTTCTTGTCGTGTTTTTATGTTTCATTCGGCCTATGTATCTGAAAACGAGCCGTGCTCGAAATATTATACAACTCTTCTCTAAAATATATATTTCATATAGCTTACTCATGAGCATCAGACTACTATATTTATCTAACTTCACCATAATCTTAATCATGCTCAGTTACATCATTCAATTCCTTAAAAAACATTTTTCTCGGTTTCATTCATCCAGCCATTTATTAGAATGTTTGCTTTTCAGCCTGGTGCGGCAGACGTGTTTTCCCTCGGCTTGGTCTTCTTCTACGTCCTCTCCAAAGGAATACATCCATTTTGCAAAACTGCACGGCACGTAAAGATGAACATTCGAGATGCAAAGGCATGGTAAGTTACAGCAATGCTAACCCGCAACTACTTCGGGGGAAGCGGGGCAAAGGGTGAGCTTTTTAACAGTTAACTCAGAAGTGGCTACAAATTTCGACTCGCCGCGTTCAGTACCTCTCCGGACATCAATTTCACATAACTCCCGGAAAAAATAGGTCAGTAGTTCATATCAGGTCATGAGTCACTTTATCACTCATGACCTGTTATCAAGTTATATCGATGTAATCAAGTTACTTAAAGGTAGTGTGCCACCTTTGAAAGATTTCCCATTTTATTTTTCCTATGATAAGAAGCTTCTGTTTTCACCTAATATCGCAAAAAAATCAAAAATGGGCCTGGAATGGTGCCTTTTTGCCTAAACGTTTATCGGTTTTTCGATATGTATAACAACTGTAGTGGGCTGACCTGCAAACAGGCGTCGGCAACAATCGCGAATGCGGCGCACATGTGACAATAAGCAAAGGTCATTATAGAGTTACGACGTACGGGAATGAGTTATCAGCTGTCTAATCGTAGACAACACAATGTCGATAAACTGTAAGCCTGTATTGGTATTGTTTCGTTAATTTGGCTGTCGAACATTAATTTATGGTTTCAAATATTATTTTATGTAAAATAATTGATATGAAACAGCCGTCTCTTAGTTATGACCCCATTTCACCACACGAAAGTGGCAGAAATGACAATGATCAGCTGACGCATTTTTCTTGGCCGAAGTCAGAGCGCGCGGCCCGACGCACAAGTATGAGCAGAAGCCGCGCCCAAAGCCAGGGCCCCGGTAACGTGAGGTAGCCGAGTCGGGGCAGCGTGCGCTGACCCAAGCCGGTAGAGCACTTCATGGGCCGGATAAATCCGTTATCCACGGATAAATCCGCGGACCGGATAGGATTGGATTCTAAATATGTTAAACAAGAACGGATATGGGCGGGCCGGATTTGGGAATTGAAGGTTGAGCCCGGATCAAAACGGATCAAAATTTTAACATTCAACATTGAAGTTGAAAATTAACCTAATGTGTTAAGCGGCAGCGGAGGTTTGATTAAAGTAATAGGCATCATTTTATGACACTCACTTGCATGGTGTGTCAAAAGTGGAAATAGCCGGTGCGCTGTCTGGCAACCCGGCAGCCCGCCGCCATTGGGAAATTCATGCTTTTTGTCGCTTTTTCGCTCCCTATGAGTCACTTGATCTAATTAGAGCTTAACTAGGAACGAGGCGGGTCACTTGGACGTATTCGGGAGCCGAATACGGTGTTTTGGAGCCAATACCTGGGAAACACTGTCCGCCCAATGCGAGTTTTTAAGAGTCTGCATGCCCAAATTAACGTTGAGCGCGGCCGTTTTCGGTTGATTTTCCCCGACCTTGTGGTGAAATCGCCTTATTTATTCAACCAGGGTGGGCTAATTCGCTTAACTAGGAATGAGGCGTTGAAGAGAATTATTCAAGGAATAGAGCTGTGCAAAAATATTTTTTGTATTGTTAAAACTGTATCCGCCCTCGAACGATAAATATTGTTGACCCATCAGAAACACACCAGCTGGAATGCGTTGGGACTTGGCTGGATCTAATATTAGCGAGTATCTGCTAATGCAGTTTCTTGGCTTACATAGTACGCACACAAGCATACATACTTCCTGCCCTTGGTTATTCTTCACTTGAATAAAAATTTTGCTATAATAACTATTCCAAGCAGTTTACAGGTTTTAGTGCAGTGCCAATTCGGAACCGTTCAGCGCCGCCTGTCTCCCAGGCGGCGCGTAACGGCTGCCACCGGCCGCCGCGCCGCCGCTCTGGCAGGGTGTTTGACTTCATATCTCTGTTGCTAGAAAAGTTGTGGACCGATTTACTTGATTCTTGCATGAAAAGATTCGCCATTCAATTCTTAGCAGATAACGAAAATTTGACGTCAATTGCACGATCCGCTGCCCATATTGTGGTACTGCCATCTATTGACAAGGCTGGCGAACTAAAGCCGGGCGGCTATTTCCACTTTTGACACACCATGGTCACAAGACTTGTCTTCAAGTGGATAATGTATGCAATAAAATGTAATAAATGGATCAAGAAATCCCGAAATGAAAAAAAAATATATGTCCACACGTCAGTCGGCTCCTAACAAATGACAGCTCAACTCAAAGTTTCAAAGACAATATTGTGCACCTGCAAGCCAATACCTGTTATTTGCCTTTCATGTCCCTAGGCTCAAAGTTGAATGAAAACCACACCATTTTGCCACAAACTATATATCAACCTAGAAAATTGTTCATACAATACCGATGATACAAACCATCCTTTGTACGATGCAAGGCGTTGAGGAACCCAACCTGGTAAGCTAACCAAGCAAGATCCAATCATATTATGCTTAAAAATCAGGAACCCTACAAGCAAGTCTAACCTGACCTAACATAACATTACCAGTAAATGTGTAGATAAAGTCTGAAGGGGATAATGAACATAATCTAGCCTGATCTACCAACCTACAACCTAAATATACTTGTTCTTATCTGACATCACCACATCATCTTACCTGACTCAACGTGTGGTTTGGTGTATCTGAGCTTCTAACAATCGCTTTCTCATATTAGCTTCACAGAAGTTGGTCTATAAAATACTGCCTTGGACGGGGGCTGCGCCAAAACTCCAGCTGTGTGCGCACCGCCGCACTGCCAAGGCGATAAATAAATACAAGATGGCGTGAATGCGACTACGCATCTATTGCGCGCAGGTCCGTCGGTCACTTAGATTCTTACGTAAGATGTTAACTCGAGTATTAGTGTTAAAAAAAAACTTTTTTTACCTGAACTGCTGTTTTAAATATAACTTGTTTGTTTTAAAAGCGAAAAAGCAAAAAAAACCTATTTCTTGAACTCATTCATTGTATATTACCTAATGACTACGTCATCAGCGTTTCGGCAAGCAATTCAAGCATGGTAAATTAGCATAACCAAACAAATAAACAATAGACTGTGTGTACTGTCGTCACTGTCCACGTGCTTTTGCACGTGCTTGTCACTGTGGATTGTGTTGTCCCGGTTGTCCTAGCCCCTAAGTATCTTGATGTAGATGTAGGTATCTTGTAGACATATTCGTTTTTCCGCCATGCTGACAAAACACGAAGTACATCAACTGATACGAGAGAACAGCGAGCGGGTGCAATATGGTGAAAAACAGGAAGGCAGATCTGCGGTTTGGCAAAAATTCCAAACACTCACAGTGGATGGGGATTCTGTACCGTTTGTATCTTGTAAGTCGTGTAGAACAGTGTACACATACAACAAAAAGGATGGTGTCAGCAGTATCGCCACACACAAATGTGGACCGCTCAAAGGCCAGCAATCTATAAGGCCTTTTGCTAGGACGCAGCCGAAAGCTGCAGACGTGACTGCGTGCAAACGACGTCTCACAGACGCTGCGGTGCAGTTTTGTGCCCTTGACCAGCGTCCCTACGCGATAGTCGAGGGAAAAGGTTTCCATGTAATGGCGCAGGCACTCATGGACGTCCGAAGGGACATCGGCGGCGTGGGGGTGGCGGCAGTTCTGCCCAGTGCAGTGACGGTTGCGCGTGCTGCGCATCAGATGGCGACCAGGAAACGCAGCGAGCTGAAAGAGCACCTGGCCGAGGTAAGACCACTGATAAGGTTGCCAATTAAGTGCCCAAATGGATTATTACCTCGTTATGCGTACGTACATCCGATAGTATCCATGCGTCAGCTGATCTATGATAGTATCTACATATGAGTCGGTACCTACCGATCCCGAACTGAGAAAAAAAAATGGAGATGCCGCGCATATGCGTATATGTATTCATATTTCCTTATCATGTTTTCGCCTTCGCACGACAGGCTATGGAAACGTGCGCCGTGACGACTGATGGGTGGATGGAGCAGTACACATCCACGTCGTACAACGGGACGACGATCCACTACATCGACGCCGGCTTCGAACTGCGGTCTGCTGTGCTTGGCACTCGGCATATGACTGTTAGTCACACTGCGGAGAACATCCTGGAAGAGACTTCATGCGTTCTTGAGGTATTTCATTGTTTTCTCAACTGTTCTGACGTTTCTTTCACTAACTGCAATCTAGCGGAAATGGAAGCGCAAATAGCCGTTTTCACGACGGGCTATCCGGCGAGTGCACCTAATTTGACCAAATCTGCACCTAATCTCTTTTACAGCAAATATCTTTATTTTATGAATTTATTTCAGTGTTTTAATCGATGATACTCTCTGATAATATGACAAAGCAGGCATATAAGCAATTAGTGCAACCCTAGCTGATAGCTACTAAGAGACACCCTGAACCTAATTTGACCAAATCTGCACCTAATCTGCACCAGATGTGCACCAAATGTGTACCAGATGCGTGTTTCTTTTTCCAACCAAAGGAAGGCGCTATACCCGAAGATGCTTCTTGGTAAACAAACCAAACAAAAACAAACATAACCTAACCTCACCTGACCTAACCTACAACCTACAAACCTACAACCTACAACCTAACCTACAACCTAACCTACAGACCTACAACCTACAAACCTACAACCTAACCTACAACGCGCCAAAAAGTTCGGCCGGCGGCGGGGATCGAACCCTAGCTAATAGATCACGAGGCGAGTGTGCTCACCACTACACCACGCAGCCAGCTGGCCGGTGAGAGGTGTAAGTCACTTTTCAATGACGCAATGGGATATTCTCCGTATAGCGCCTTCCTTTGGGTGGAAAAAAGAATTACGCGTACCAGATGGCTGTCGTGAAAACGGCTAATATCGATCAACGAATGATTCTGACGGGACGTGATAATAACAGAGGTGAATGTTCCGATAGTATGGTCCGCTTATCGCTAATCTGCGAATAAGCGCCATCTAAAGCCCAATAATTTCACAGGAGTACCTGCCCGGCTGGAAGGAGCGCGGTGTGGTCTCGGCGTTCGTCACAGACAACGCTGCTAACATGAAGAAAGCATTCGAAGACCACACGCGAGTGTCGTGCGCATGCTACAACCTGAACCTGGTGGTCGGTCATGCCCTTGGGGCAACTGCCCTCCGTGATCCAGCATACGCTGCCCTAGCGAGGCAGATCGCGGTTTGCAAGTCCCTGGTGTCACTGGTGAAGCGTAAAGGTCTGAACCATCTACTGGAAAAATCTCTAAAGCAGCAGGTGGATACGCGCTGGAATAGCCTACTGACCATGATCCGGTCGGTACTGGAGGCCTTGTCGGAGCTGCGAAGCCAGGAGAGATTCGCGCAGCCAGACGTGTCTGATCTCGTGGACCAGCTGAGCAGGAGCCAGCTGCACGCCCTCATCGACCTGCTGCAGCCGTTCGAGATGGCGTCCGAGCAACTTAGCGCGGCCCGCTACAGCACTCTGCATCTGGTTGTGCCCGCCAAGGAGCGGCTGATGAGGTCTTTGAGCGTGAAGACGGATGATACCTTCGCCATCAAGAGGCTCAAGGAATCACTACGGCGACTCCTCGACGAGAAGTTCATCCTAGAGAATGAACACTTCATGGCAGCAGCGCTCTGGCCTCCACACCGCCACTTCCGAAGCATGCAGACAGTGTCTCAGGCGAAGGTGCGGCAGGTGCATCAATCACTGGAGGAGGAGGCGAGGTACCAGCCCAACTGTCCGCCACAAGTGCAGGTCAGCCAAACGACCCAAATGCCACCTGCCGAGCCAACGCCGGGACCAAGCTCCTCAGAGGTGAGTCAGATTTTGCATGGAGGTAAAATTGCACTAACGGTTTCGGGCTTATGCATGTTCATGTTTGCAATCTGTTAGAAAGTGTCATTTCACGTGAATGTTACCAAGTAATGAGACGGAGGGATAGCAATCAATACAGAATACCATTTTGAGCTTGTGTCTCATACCTTTTATTTTGGTTCACTTCAATGTTTTAAAGTTCTAACGTTTTATAGTTCCTAGAGCAACTCAAGCACGCGGTAACGACCAAGTGGCTGTAACAAAAACACTGGTTTCAGTCATTCTTCACCTTTGGCGAGCAAGACGACACGGCAGCGCCCAAACCCCGCCAAGACGACGTGGGGGAGTACCTGGCAGATCCTGGACCCATGACCTGCGGGAAAGACATAACAAAGTGTTGGAGTACTGGAAAACAACGGGAGCCAGGTTCCCGGTACTCCAGCGGGTAGCCCGCAAGCTGTTAGCGGGTAAATATATTTGCATTATTACCAGTGAGTCGAAAGTGTTAACCCGCGCGGGGCTGGGGTCTCCAGCCGAACGCGCGGGGCTGGGGGGGGGGTAAATTTTACCCCCCCTGTTATCTCCCGAACTAACGGTCCGATTTGGAAAATTCAAACGCCAATCGAAAGCTCTCATCACGAACTACTAAAAACATGTACTTAATTTTAAGTTTGAGGTCAAGGTCAAGGTCAGGTCAAGGGTACAAATTGCAAGTTTCTACAGTATCGGCCTTGCATCGTAGTTGCCGAAGAATGGAGTCATGGACTGAGACTGATCGCCCAAAACGTGTTCTTAGGCTACCAAGACAATATTCGTTGCATACAATATCATTCAGAGGGCAAGGTCAAGGTCAGGTCAGGTCAGGTCAGGTCACCAAAAAACAAAATATAGAAAAGGGCATGTGCGACACATGTTTTATGGGTCATTTTACTCATAGAATTCAATAGGCACACTCAATAAGTGATATGGACCACCTCTGGATGAATTTCAGGTCGAGGTCAGGTCAAGGTCAGGTCAAGTGAGGTCAAATTTTGAAGTTGGTTGTTAGGGCGTTAGGGCGTCTATAAAAAGGTGTCTATCTGATGCAGTTTTTCACGGCGAATCGAATGGTGCTATTTTTGTTTCCGTACGAGGTCTAGAACTTCCAAAAAAGTCATTTTTCAAAAATTTTGTGTGTCGTGACGTCATAAAATTTTGAATAACTCCCACATTTTTGAACCGATTCTCCTAAAATTTGGTATGTAGGTGCACATAGACCACTTCTCTGACATATATTCCGGTTTTTTCGATAGACTCAAAATTTTGGATTTTATAATGATTTTCCCAAAAAAGTCAGTTTTTTGAAAAAAATTTAGGCCAAAATCCAAAATTTTCAAAAAACCGAGATAGCCATTTGATAGACAAAGTAAAATTACGTATAACCTTTTTTGTTACGTCTTGATTCCTTTAAAAATGAAGATGTTAGCGGCGTTTGAACTTTTGCCGTTTTTTAGGCGAAAATGACGAACATGACGTCACTAAAACGTCAATTTCTCAAAAATTTTCCGACGGATTTCGCTCAAATTTTCAGGGAACGTGTCAAATTGATGTAAGAAAAGGTACTGAAAGTTTGGCGGCGCTGCGCGCCGCCGTTTTTGAGATATCGCAAAAATTCGCGAGGGGGGGTAAAATTTACCCCCCCCCCCAGCCCCGCGCGGGTTAAGTGACATCCCCCTGTCTGTGTATCCGAATAATGTTGCAGGAAGATAAGCTAACATACCTTATTTCATCTCCAAATGAGCATTGCCTATCTGGCGTCTGCAGTTATGAAAGTAAGATGCACGGCAGTCCGCACCATGCTCCCGCCGTCTGCTGTCAGTTACCAGGAGTTTTTTTACAACTCCGAAACGTTCAGCTTTTTATAACAGCCAATTACATTGGGACCATTTGCACTTCTGAAATCATGTTGTAAATTCAAGTATATGCAATAATTCATGTTTTACATATATTTCAGTGCCTGCATCCAGCGCACCATCGGAGAGACTGTTTTCGGCCGCTGGTCGGACGATCGAGCCGGGTCGGACGTGCCTCCTCCCAGAAACGGTGGACGACATCCTCTTCCTCCACGGGGCACTGCGCCAGTAACCGACAGGAGAAAGGAGTTAGGATAGTGACTAGTCTGACTGTGTACTCAGAACTAAGCTGGAAAAGTCAAAGCAAAGGAAATCTGTCATGCATGCAGTCACAGTGTCTTATATTGTACGCATTTCCGCTGTTAGCTAGGAGTGCTATCAGTAGTTTGATATTGATCTCAGCTCAGGAATGTTGAACGTTCGCCAATCATTTAACCCGCGCCCCGTAGGGCTACCGGCGGACCCTACCACCCGTCGGGGGGGGGGGGGCCGTTTCGGCCCCCCCTAAGATCTCGGAAAGTTACCGGCCGATTTTCAAAATTCAAACGGCGTTCGATAGCCCCACCCGGGAACTACCTTGTGACCAAATTTCATTGACCTAGGTCAAACCGATGACGTCACAGGTCAGGTCAAAGGTCAGATTTTCACCGTTCACAGGCAATTCAAGAATTGTGCTGTGAAAGCGAGTAAATTGGTAATTTATTGAAAACCATCGATGGTACATTGTTCGTCAAACACATACTTTGCTATCTGAGGTCACTGATACCAGGTCAGGTCACAGCGAGGTCAGGTCACCGGGGGTCACAATATGAATGTGTCGTGTGATACATGTTTTATGGTCCATTTTACATGACAAATGCGATTATGTGGGTTAGGCAGCCTTTGGGGCCAGCCTAGGTCACGTTTTGGTGAAGGTCAGGTCAAGGTCAGGTCAAATTAGGTCAAATTTCAAAGTTGATATTTTTGCATAAAATGGGTATCGATTCGATGCAGCTCGTCACGGGGAGTCTAATGGTGGTCTTCGTTTTGCTCTACGAGTTCTAGAATTGCCAAAAATTGAGTTTGAAAATTTGACGTCATCATTTTTGAACAGTTTTTTTTCGCTATAACTTGGCCAAAAAACGAGGTATCGATCTGAAATTTGGTATGTGGATAGAAGACGGTAGGCACTATCACATATATTCCGGTTTTTTTTCGAAACTCAAAAAACTTTTTGGATTTTTTGGCGAATATACCCAAAAAAAATGCTTTTTTGATTTTTGGGGGTCAAAACTCAAAAATTTCAAAAATTCGAGATAGCAGTTTTGTAGCCCTGTCAATTCTACACCTTTTATGTCTTGATCATTTTTCTGTATCTTCAAAGCTGTAGTCCTGACAGGTCTTCTCGCGAAGGTCTTTTTTCGGTCGAAAATGACAGAACATGACGTCACTCTGACGTCATTTGTGGCCAACCTATCATAGCCTCTGGAAAAATTTTTTGTCACAATGTGTAAAATTGATGCCCGGAGGGGTCCTGAAAGTTTGGTGGCGATATCTCCAGCCGTTTAAGAGATATCGACCGAAAAGGACAGGGGGGGCCGTTTCGGCCCCCCCCCTACGGGGCGCGGGTTAAATGTGTAACTTGCATAAAATCATTCAATTATTATTGATTGGAAAGTGGAAATGTAATAATCGTTCGGATACATACGAGATGTTTCACAACTGGTATCACTTGAAAAAAGTTGTAAATTGTTTTTTTTTTCGTTATATTCAAAGCGCTTCACTGGAATATTGATCACATCTCTCGTCCTCGTGCTTATTCCTAGTCCTGCCAATGCCAGAGCGCGACGAGCTGCCTGGCGATGACAGTTGAGCGTTGATACCCCGAACGAGTCTACTGACTGCTGAGGACATGTTTGGGTTATAAGGTGTCGACGTTTCTGCTGTTCATCGGCGTTCGTATATCTGTAGTGGTGGAATGTCAGACCCCTGTCGTGCCGGCGGCGTCCGTAGATACGGTGTCTGGACTCTGTGGAATAGATTGAAACCGTTCAAAGCCTAGGTGGAAAGACACATCTGTGGAGTGTGGTTACCCTCACGAATCACGATGGTCTGGCGTCGTCTTAACCCTCGCCCTGGCAGGGCCTTTTTCATAACACGGCCTGGCAGGGGGGGGGGTCGATGCGACCCCCCCTCGCGATTGGCTCCTATGGCACCTAGAAACACCAAATTTGGTAGGTAGGTGGGCCCCATGTAGTTCTCGCCCTTGTGCAAATTTGGTTGTTCTAGGTCAATATTTAGGGGGGTTTTGGGGGGTATAAATGTAAAAATTTCGCTAAAAACAGGTCAAAAGTTTTTCGCTTATAACTTTTGATCTAACTAAGATAGAGCAAAAAGAAAAGCACCAGTGAACTCAGCACGTCAAGGCGCGTCGAATGATATACTTTTTAGCTTGCTTAAGTGTACTTAAAGTTTTTCTTAATTTTTAAGTAAACTTTAATTAATTAATTAAGTTCAAATTAACCAAATTGCATCATATCGCATATCATTCGATTTGGCTGATCACCAGGAACACAATGACACCATTTTTTAAGCTCTAGCGTCATTATGTGCCAAGTTATTGGAAAAAATGTGATTTGACCTCAGTTGACCTCATTTGACCTGACCCATGGATAAGCACACCAAACAAAGAAGCACCAAGTGACCTGCTGTTAAGTACTGTTGTTTCAAAGCACAAAAGTGATAGAACGAAGCGGATATCTCCAGTATTTTCCGAATTTAGTATTTTCCCATAGGCTCCCATTACGACGCAATGACCTCTAACTGACCTCAGGTCAGTGACCTCAAAAAACCCGAACTATATGTTATACAACTCGGTGAACTTAACACATCCTGAAAGTTTGAAGGAAATCAGTCGAAAACTGTGAGTTGTACAGGTGCAAAAAGAAAGTTGAAATTTGACCATGACCTTGTCCGGTTTTTCTGACCTGGTGACCTGACCCAAGGTCACCCGGACCTGAAATTTTCAGGTCATATGTAAAAAGGTTGCCCCATAGGCTGTGCCAAATTTGGCGGCGCTGCGCGCCGCCGTTTTTACGCTATCTTCGAAAAACCTTAGGGGGGGTCGCATCGACCCCCCCTGCCAGGGCGAGGGTTAATACAACTTTGAGTTGGTTCCCGCCTGTACTGCTGATGCTGGGTTACATGCCTGATAGACTACTGCACAAAGCCTGCTCATTAATCAGCAGTCACTCTAAGATGGGGGAGGATCCGGAGGTAGGCTGGTCTCCTCTCCTATTCGGTGCCAGAAAGGTATGCTTCCGCTTCCATGTCGTCACATTTCACCCACCCACTCGCCAGGACTGCCAAGACCAGCCAGGACAGTGAAAACGGTGAGCTCGGCCGTGTGTTGAGTGTTGACCTGTCTCTTCTGTAATTGATTGTTATGATATCATTTGATATTATCTTCGATGCCAGCAAAAGCAAATGACTAAAAAGTAGCATTGTGCATTTTCCTCTAAATTTGTTCATAATATTAATTATTTATTTTGATAATACAACTCCCAGTTTAAGCGAAGCTTCATAATGGTACAGTCGTGTACAGGTTGATGGTCCCCTACTCTTTATCCACCGGGTTCCTATGGCTCAGCATTGGCAGCAGCCGCCTGGTACCGGTAGGCTGTGCCGCATGACCCGAGAGTGAAGCGGCACAGTCTATCCACGCCGTTTGACATCGGCTCGGGTCGCCGGGTGGAGCGCTTTGTAGACCAGCTGTCGCGTCAGACCAGCGCGGGGGAGGGGCTCGTCTCGGTGGTTGGCGTGGGCTGGCGAGTGGTGTGGGGCGTGTTGGTGGACCATGGGGGCTGGGCGGGTGTGTGTGGTCACTTGCTGCATTGCACATTTTGCGTCGCTTAACAATTGCATTCCTGTTTTTGCTAAGCACAATGCACGGAAGACCCAGCGAATAGGGCATTGTGCAAAACGTGATTTGGCACGGTATCGAGGCAACCATAGGTCTTGTGCCACATATATGCATTTTAGGCAATACGCTTATGAAAATGGTAGATTGATCGGATTGATCCTGGATGTCAATTCGTATGCTAAATGTCGACATGTATTAAATGAACGAATGAATGAACCAATCAATCAATCGACAATCGACATGTAAATATAAAACCGTATAAATGGCTCGCAACCACTAAAATCAAACCAGATCCTAACTCGGAAAAGTAGCCGGAGCCCCGATGAGGCTGGAACCGGGACTCCACGTTGAAAGTTTTACCAATGATCCATCATCATTCCACCAAGCTAGAGCGACCGGCACCCGAAACCACAAAACATTCATTGACTTTGCTGCCGACCTCCCGGTCCCGCCGCCCGTCCGGCCAGGCTTTGCCCCGGCCGTGGCCACCATCCGGTGTAGCTCAGCGTAGGAGTGCTAGACTGTCAAACCGACCGGTTGTGAGAGGCCCGGTTCAAGACGCTTCGCGTGCTGGATGTTTATTTCTGTGTCCGAGGCTATGCGATTAGTCCACTTTTCAGAAAGATTATTTGGTGACAGGTCTGTTTTCTTTCTTTGCTGCAATTCATGAGAAGACCGTATGGACCCTTACCTGTCCTTCCGCACCCCACTTGGGAGATGGGTGTTTGAACCCCCCTGGGTTTTGTGAATATCTCTAAAGCGAATTTTTGGAGGGTGGATTACGATCGGTTCTATGCGACAAGTGACCACACACACCCAGCCCCAGGTCCGCTCACTCCCTCCCCACATCACCCCCGCCCCACACCACACTCCAGCCCGCCTCATCCACCGAGCCGAGCCATGACGAGCCTCAGCGCCCCGGGGCGCGACCTGTCAGCGAACCGGCGGGGACGCGGGCCGGTTAGACAGGTTAGACAGGCCTGACCCTTACCCCCCCCCCCCCTCCCCCCAGCCGGTGTAACGCAGCGTCCGGTCAAATCGCTCTACCAGGCGACCCGAGCCGGTGTCATACAGTGTGGGTAGGCTGTGCCGCTTCACTCTCGGGTCATGCGGCACAGCCTACCGGTACCAGGCGGCTGCTGCCAATGCTGAGCCATAGGAACCCGGTGGATAAAGAGTAGGGGACCATCAACCTGTACACGACTGTACGATAGGAGGCACAGGAAAGATAATTTAACAGCTGCGACCAACGCAAGTAAATACATTTATGGCGTCGGTGCGACATCATGGTTGCTTTTATTTTGAGCTGGCAGAGCCACCGTTGTCTTGCTACTGATGTATTCCCAGCACCTTCACCATAGACGAACACCACTCTCGGTCACAGCCCAACCAAGACAGCCCCTGAGCCGCCGGCCAGCCCGGCGTAGCCCGGGGCCAGCTGACCACATGACCGGCGTCAGCCGACGAGCCTGTGTCAGAGATGCAAACTCACCACCACCTCGAGATGCAAATACCAGTACATATCACTTTTCCCCCCTTCACGAAAACTTGTTCCTCAAGCGCTCGGAACGTCTTAACACTGGTTCACTCTGACACTCATTCCCCGGTCGCACACGAGCCTCACCCGCACCCCACAATCCAGAGTCCTCTGAAGAGCGCTGGGACCGCTCCCTGTGGGAGTCCCCACTCTCCCGACGCCGATGAGCCTCCCCGGGCGTCTCGATCTCACTCGGCAGCGGCACCGATGCACCACCGGCAGACGCGCACCGGTCGTACGCCAGATACTCCCCCGATCTATAGTCGGTTCGGGCCGGCTCGGGTCCCGGAACAGCGGCCGGCACCGGGCGGTCCGGCACGGTCCGCGGAACCGTATCCGCAACGGTCCGACCCACGGTCCGGTCCGCCAGCAGGTGGTCCAGGTGAGCGGTCCGGGTCCGGCCGTCGATGCAGACCTCGTACACCAGAGGTCCGACCCGTCCAGTAACAGTAGCTCTGCGCCACTTAGTCGCCGAGCCGGGTCGCAGGTCTCGCAGCAGCACGGAATCACCTGCAAGAAACTCTCGTGAATACACATACTCTCCCGGACCCTTCAATCTTTGGGTCACGGAGGGCTTCAGAAGAGATAACTTTGTGCGAGGCATTCTTCCCAGTAACAGCTCGGCCGGCGCCCTCCCAGTGGACGAACACGGCGTCACTCTGTATCGTGCCAAAAACTGACAGACTGCTACTGCACGGCTCCTGCCGTTCGACTGCTGTTTCTTTAAAAACGACTTGAACGTCCTCACCATGGACTCGGCCTGGCCATTTGATGCTGGGTGATAAGGCGGAGTGGCACGATGGAAAATGCCTCTCGATCTCAAGAAGTTCTCGAATTCTGCAGATTTGAACGGCGGGCCATTGTCCGAAACCAGGGTCACTGGGAAACCATGAGTGGCAAATATTTTTGTCAGCGCTTCTATCGTTTTTGTAGCTGTTGTGCCATGCATTTCCTCTATTTCCGGCCATTTTGAAAACGCATCTACGAGAACAAGATAATCCCGACCTTGATGGGACGCGAAATCAATATGCACTCTTTCCCACGGTGCCGAGGGATACACCCATGGGTGCACAGCGGAGGTGGCCGGTCTCTGAGCGTTAGTTCGGCACGGACCACACTGTTGGCACAACTGCTCTATCTCGTCATCCAGATGCGGCCACCACACAAAACCTCGAGCTAATGACTTCATTTTACACACCCCCAGGTGTCCCTCATGTAACTCCTCTAGCAGCTGACGTCTGAATCGGCTGGGTATGACTACTTTTTCACCCACCTGAAGACATCCGTCAACGACTGTCAAACCGTCTCTGCATCTGATGTATGGCTGAAACTTGGCCTCCGTCTTCTTCGGCCATGCCCCGGACCGGACCCAGCTCAGCACTGGACCGAGGACGGGGTCCCTGGCCGTCTGCCTGGCGACCTGATCAGCAGTCACCGGCAAGATGTCGTCCTCGATGGTCGCGCAGATCAGCTCTTCCTCTTCTGCGCTGCACACCTGCCAGGTTCCATCATCCGATTCTGTTCGGCTCGGAAGACGGCTGAGGACATCTGCCGGCACATTCTGTAAACCAGACACAAACTCAATTTCGTAATCGTACATACTAAGAATCAAAGCCCATCTCTGGAGTCTCGCTGCTGCCACGCTTGACGTCTCAGCTGACGGATTGAAAATGCGACACAACGGACGGTGATCCGTCACCAGTGTGAAGTGACGGCCACAAATGTACTGATGAAAACGCTTCACACCAAAGATGATGCCCAATCCCTCTCTCTCAATTTGCGCATACTTCTGTTCCGCTTCAGAGAGCGTGCGTGATGCATATGCTACTGGCCGTTCGACGCCGTCTGGAAACTGATGCACGAGACACGCTCCCACCCCAGATGAGGACGCATCACAGTACATTTTCAGCGGCCTGTCAACATCATAGTGGGCCAGCGCCCCGGCCCCGGACAAACCAGCCTTAGCTTGAGAAAAACTGTTTTGGCATTCTTGTGTCCAAACCCACTTGGCTCCCTTCTTTGTCAGATCGTACAAGGGTCTCAGTACTGATGACAAATTTGGCATGAATTTGGCATTGTACGTCATGAGTACTAAGAACGTCAGCAGTTCCTTGACATTCTGTGGCACGGGCATAGACGCAATGCTTCTCACCCTTTCATCTGTTGGGCGAAGGCCGTCCTGAGATATTTCATGTCCCAAGTAGATGATCGTCTTTCTGAAGAGTTCACACTTCTCCTTCCGCAGACGCAGCCCGCGCTCCTGAAGCCTCTGCATGACCGCGTCCAGGTTCGCCTGGTGTTCCTCTCTGGTCCTTCCTGTGACTAAAATGTCATCCAAGTAGCATGCCACACCATTCAGCCCTTTCAGCACCTCATCCATCGTCCTCTGCCACAGGTTGGGAGATATCTTGAGCCCAAACGGAAGTCTGGTGGGCCTCATCAGCCCCAATGGCGTATTCATGGTCAACACAGCCTGGCTTTCTGGGGCTAGTGGCAACTGTTTATAAGCGTTGGCTAAATCTAATTTTGAGAAAGACTCTCCATGAGCTAATGTACTGAATATCTCTTCTGCCGTGGGGAGCCGATAAGCTTGCTCTTTTACACACTGATTTACAGTCACCTTGTAATCTGCACAGATTCGTACGTTACCCCCAGGTTTTCTGACCAACACCAAAGGTGCTGCCCAGTCGCTCCGTTCCACAGGCAACAGCTCACCTTCTTTGATCTGGCGTTCCAGTTCCTTGTTAACCTTGTCCCGCAGAGCGAACGGAACAGGTCGGCTCTTGAAAAACCGTGGCTGCGCCCCGGTTTCCAGTTCCACCTGCGCCTGTGCTCCTCCGACCTCCCCAAGCCCCTCCGAAAAGAGCTCTGGGTACTTCCTCTGGAACGCAGATACAGACACTTCATGTAACGCATGCATGGGTTTCTCTTCCTCTACCCTTCCATAAAATATCTCGTTCCAGTCAAACCGTACCTTGAACATCCAATCTCTACCCAGTAGAGGATAGCGACTTTTGACATCTACAACCAACATGCTGTCTGTCATCGTTTGGCCCTTGTACTCCACGGTAACTGGCATTTCACCAATCATTTTAAGCGGTGATCCGTCATACTGACTGAGCCTCTTGTGAGTGGGCTCTAAGTGAGTGTCGGGAAACACCTTTTCAAACACATGTAGCGGCAGAGTGGTGATCTCTGCTCCGGTATCTAGCTCCATAGTCACCGGTTTCCCATTTACAAGAACAGAAGTGAGCAGCTTACCTCGTCGAACCTTGTGCGTGTGCAGCACTTCGAACTCCTCGGTACCTGACGAGTCCGATGGTGACTGCGGTTGCTGCTCCGGATGTCGTCGCCCCTCAGTCTCCTGCACCTCCTCTACTGCGTGACTGCTGGACTTTCTCTCTCCTGCCGTCCTGTGAAATCCTGTTCTACGATCAGCACGCTTGGCAAACTGCCAGTTTCCATTTTCTCTGTTTTTCGACTGTTTCGGACATACAACGGCCAAATGACCTCTTCTGTGACATTTGTTGCAGACAGTTTTCACATGCCAACAGGCATCGGCATCATGTCCCACTCTACCACATCGGAAACAGCTCAACCCCGGCCCCTTCAGTCTGTCTTTCTGGATCTCATGTACCCCGGACGCTGAAAATACCCCGGCCTCCTTTGACACAGCTTCAAATGCCCGGGCATGTTGAACAGCCTTTTCGAGAGTCAAGGACGTCATGCAGAGCAGCTCCTTCTGACAACGACTATCATACAAGCCACACACTAACTGATCTCTTAGAGCCGTGTCTAAATAGTCCCCAAACTGAGCGTTACTGGCAATCTTTTTCAAATCAGCCAGGTATTCTGCAACTGTTTCCTCTTCACGCTGTCTGCGTTGGAAAAACTTGTAGCGTTCTGCGATCTCTACCAGCTGTGGCTGATAATGATTTTTGACCTTCTCTTTGATAAGCTCAAAGGTAGCTTCCTCCAATGTGACCGGACTAATCAAATCTTTGATCTTCCCAAACACTGCCTGTCCCACAACCGTTAAAAACAAAGCCTTTTGCTTGGACTCGGCTCGTACATCATTGGCTGAGCAATAAAACTGGAAACGCTGTAAGTAATTTTCAAACGTTTCCTCAGCTGGCTCGAAAGCTGTCAGCTTGCCATGTGCCATTTCGCTTACTTACTTGCTACTTGCTTAAACAGTTACTTGCTACTTCCCTGCCTTGGACCGTGGTAGCTGGTGCCGTCCTGGTCTTCTATCTCATCCTCGTCGCCATGTATGATGTATTCCCAGCACCTTCACCATAGACGAACACCACTCTCGGTCACAGCCCAACCAAGACAGCCCCTGAGCCGCCGGCCAGCCCGGCGTAGCCCGGGGCCAGCTGACCACATGACCGGCGTCAGCCGACGAGCCTGTGTCAGAGATGCAAACTCACCACCACCTCGAGATGCAAATACCAGTACATATCAGCTACAAAATCAGTAGTGGGGCCTTGCGACAGTGATTTCGCGCGAAGAGGTCCCACCACTTTGGAAATAGGTGCTCGTAATTGATATAAGAGCAGCTTCGCCAACATTCTTAGATGAAAAAACCACGCATATTGTGGGACTGTCAGCTCCGAATGGAATAAGAATTATTATGAAACAAGTCACTAAAGTTTCTGGAGTCACTGAAGTTTGCACTTTGCGTGTGGGTGATTAAAGACTGGGATGTGGATAGTGGGCATGGGGCGGTATTACAATTATGTAATATCTGTTGGGCACTTGTAACTCACTAACTACCACCATACATGCATTTGATGACCTGAACTTCCCTATCTTCTTACTTCTTAGAGAAATTGTGTATTACTATTGAAGGATGATACCTAGTTTACCAATGTGGTGATTTTCATGTGGTTTTAGGTTTATAAGTATGGTTTTTGGAACCATGATGGTTGTGAGATGTATGGCTGTCGGGTCCCTTAGATTGAATTTGTTAGTCCAGTTTTGGGTGAAACCAGTTATTGGTGAAACGGATTATTACGGATATTTTTTGGAAGTTTGGCTGCAATACGGGCCATGGGTGGGACGGATTCTGATATTCAAAGAAAGGCGGATAATGGGCGGATCTGGATATGACTTGCCGGATATGGGCCGGGCCGGATCCTAAAAAGCCTATCCGTGAAGTGCTCTACAAGCCGGGGCCGCAGCTTTGGGCGCGGTCTACCGCATCCCCGCGGGCAGCCCCGGGCTATCACATGACACCGGGAGGACGCGCGGCCCCGGCTTGGGTCAGCGCACGCTGCCCCGACTCGGCTACCTCACGTTACCGGGGCCCTGGCTTTGGGCGCGGTCTACCGCACCACCTAACAGGCGTGTTCGAAACCGCAGGAGATGATGATGAACGGGTTTATCGAAACTTGATTGGATGAGCATATCGCGATTTAGTAATAGCGATTTCAGTGTGTGTATTTATTGTTCATAGTGGTGTGAAATGTGGTTGGGGTACGATCGACAACCCGTCGGGGCAAATTTCGCACTGGGGTACTAAAAATTTGAAGAATTTAAGACGTTTCCATGAGTTTTGAAGGTATGGATAAGTTCTAAAAATCCGGTTCTCCTTATCTGGGCCATACGGTCCAGGAAAGCTGGCACACTACCTTTAACCCACGCCACGCTGGGAATCTGCCCCCTCCCGTTTTTCGCCAATACCCGAAAAAAATAGGTCAGTAGTTCATATCAGGTCATGAGTCATTTAATCACTCATGACCTGTTATCAAGTTATACCCGAAGGTTGTACTTGTTTCTTCATTAGACAAACACTATTCTTTAGAATTGTGTTTTTCTATTGAAAAACAAACTGAGGGCGGTTCCTTTTTGGGATAGGATTCGTGTTTGGTGCGGCAGATCCGGGCACCTTGATAGTCTTCCAAACGAACCGATAGATTTTGATGAAATTTTCAGGGCAGCTGCCCCCGCAGATTATCAACCACGAAACACCCTCAGCTAAGAATATAATTATTTTTCTTGCACGTGGCACGTGCACGTGTTTTAGGCCCATAGGCTTCAACATTAGGTGGATTTTTGGCATCGCATTTCTCGCAGACAGGTGCTTGTAATGCGATGGGCTTCTATGTGCTGGGTGGCCGCTCCGGCATCTACCATGAGCCGGCGGCGCCGTTTCGGGCAGCCTCGGGAAGGGGGTGTAAATTGCACGTGCAGCCGCCATTGGTTTAACGTTACGAAATGGGCCAAAACGGTTTTTCTCGATTTGCTCAAAATCGCCTCGATAGATTTTCTTTGTTTTTTTGAGTGCCGGTAGTCAGTCATGGGGTGCGTTCGCCAATGTTGATCGCTTGAAATATAATTAACCCCTCCCGTTTTTCTGCAATAACTTCCCAACCGCTTGACGTATCGACGCTAAACATTTAGTACCTTCGGCTGCATCAATTTGACACCTTGTGTCAAAATTTGAACTTCGTAGCTACCATAGGTCGGCCGGAAATGGCGTCAGAGTGACGTCATGTTCGGCCGATTTCGACGCAAAACATTGAACCACGGCAATCGCTCCCAAGGGCTCAGTTTTTAAGCTAAATCCAAGTTCTTTGCATGAGAGGACTCATAATAGACTGCGCTATTAAACTGCAATCTCGGATTTTCGAAATTTTGAAAATTTCGAAAATTGTATATAATAAAATTCAAAATTTACATTTTTACATTTTTTTTCAAAAGGTTTATAACTTTTCGAAAAAACTGGAATATATATGATAGAATGCGTTATTATGACTAACTCTAGCAAGTTTTAGCTAAATTTCTTCAAAAATGGCCAAGTTATACGCATTATTGCAAAAAATTCACAATTATTAATTTTTCAAATCAATTTTTCACCACGTATTTGACATCGTACGCCAATGTAAATAGCACCATCGTGTTCCTGAGCGCTCAAACTGCATCCAATAGACACCTTTTCTGTTGAAAAATTATAACTTCAAAATTTGACCTTTTTTGACCTGAAAGTGAACTGACCTAAGCTAAATTCGACTCAAAATGACCTCGAATGACACAGACGACATCAAATTCGAAATCTTTGGCCTAAATGGACCATAAAACATGTGTCACGTGACCGACGCATGATATAATATTTTCGTGACCTGTGATGACCTGACCTTGACCTGAAAATCAAAGTACAAGTTTGGTACCCTCAGGGTATCTTGAGCATCTGTTCACGAGTGTGTGAACCAAAAATGAGCCTGATCTGACTTCATGACTTGTAAGACGGCGGCCAGAGCCCAAAAAGTGAACAAGCCAAAATGCTAATAATTTTTACTTTGACCTGACCTGTGACGTCATCAGTGACCTCAAGGTCAATGAAATTAGGTTTCAATCGACAGTTTTCCGGGGCTATCAGACGCCGTTTGAATTTTGACGACCGGCCCAGAAGTTTCGGAGTTAGGAGGGGGGGGGGCTATGAATAGCCCCCCCCAGTAGGGCGTGTTATACGCAGACCCCAGTGGGGCGCGGGTTATCTTTTTTTGCACGTGGCACGCGCCCAAATTTTCACGTGTTAACCCTCGCCGGCCGAGGGGGGGCCGCCCCCCCCCCCATAGGGTTTTTTCGCGATAGCTCCGAACACGCTGGCGATAGAGAGCTGAAACTTAGCATACCTGACCTTTGATCCAAGCCGCATCTTTTGACACCAACCGGATTTTTGGGTCAGGTCAGGTCACTGACCTATGACGTCATAAGTGAACCTCTGCACGGTC